AGAGACAGAGAGAGAGCTGAGCTGATGCAGTGGCTAAGTGCCCCACTGCTAACTGAAAGGTTGGCCTTTCGAACCCACCCAGCAGCTCCATGAGAGAAAAGACCGAGCAATCTGCTCCCGTAAAGAATACAGCCTAGGAAACCCTATGGGGCAGTTCTACCCTGTCAGACAGGGTTGCTATGAGTTAGAATCGACTCAACAATGCACAACAACATATATATGTATATATACATATGTATATTTCCAAAAGAACAACATTCTCTCCACAATAAGCCCACTGAATAAAGTTTAATATTTCCTTGTGACTCTTTTCTTCTCAGGATATATCCTACTAGGGATATATTTTGGTTTTTTAAAAAAATCTTGAATTTTTCTTGTAGAGTTATGCCACCAACAATACACAGTAGGATTTATTTATTTTTATTTTCAGGTATTCTTAAAAAGTTAATTTTGTTTTTTTAATTACAGAAAACATTTCCGTAGTCCCAAAGCCAAAACTATAAAATAAGTTTCATTCAGACATATCTAGCTTTTTGCCTGTACTCTTTTCTCTCCTTCATTCTGTGGTTAACCAGTTCTGTTCGTTTCTGTGTTACATTTATATTGTTTGTAAAAAAATGAAAGCATTTATTTTTTACAAACACTGTATCACTCCTTTACAATAAAAAAAGAAAAATAGACTCTTCTGCAGCTAGCTTTCTTCATTTAAGAGTACATACTAGAGATCACTCTTCAGTAGTATTTAAAATAATCTTCCTCATTCTTTTTATAGCTGCATAGTACTCCACTGAATGGAGTACTGCTATGATGGACGTCTGGGTTGTGTCTAGTCTTTTGCTGTTACAAACAGTGCTACAATGAATAGTCTTGTACGTATATCATTTGGTATTTTGGCCTGTGTATCCTTGAGATAGATTCCTGGAATTGGGATTGTTGGGGTAAAGGATAAATGCATATGTATTTTCCTCTACATTGCTGAAATCTCTTTTATAAGAATTGTATTATTTTGTGTTCCTACCAGCAATATATGAGAATTTCTCTTTCCCCACAGCCTTGCAATTATATTGTCAGATATTTTTTTTGTTATTTTTGCCAATTTAAGAAGTAAGGAATGGTATTTCAGTGTAATTTTATTTGCATTTCTCTTTTCACATGTTTAAGGGTCATTTCGAGTCCCTGGGTGGCACAAACAATTAAGCGCTTAATTACTAGCCAAAAAGGTTGGCAGTTCAAACCCACCTAGAGGCTCCTTGGAAGGCAGACCTGGTGATCTGCTTCTGAAAGGTCACAGCCTTGAAAACCCTATGGAGCAGTTCTACTCTGCACACGTGGGGTTGCCACAAGTCAGAATCAACTCCATGGTAGCTAACAACAACAACAAGGGCTGTTTACATTTATTTTTCTGTGAAATATCTATTTGACTCCTTTGCTCATTTTTAAAATAGGATTGATAGTTTTCTTTAATTTTAGAAGCTTTTTATATGTTTGGGATATTAGACCTCTGTGATACAAGTTTTAAGTATCCCTTTTCAGTTAGTCTTTTGTCTTTTTCCCGTGCTTATGTTATCTTTTGCCAGATGAAAGATAAAAGAAAGGCGTTGCCCTGTCAGATATTAAGACACACCACAAAGCCATGCTAATAAAAATCTGCATGTATTGGTGCAAGCACTTTAAAATAGACCGGCAGAGTAGAAGACAGAGCTTAGGAAGAGACATATGCACGTATAGGACATTAATACACGACAAAGGTGGCCTCATAATCAATGGGGAAAGGATATGTTATTGGTAAAACTTGCTTACTCTCTGGAGAGAGAAAAAAACTGATTTTCTTCCCAACACCGTGCACAAATATAGTCTCTAGAAGGATTAAAGCATAATTGTGAAGGGTAAATCCATATTGTTAATAGAAATGTAGGAGAATATTTTTCTGACCTAGGGATGGATAACGACTTCTTAAAACCCCTAAAAGTACACATCATAAGGCAAAAAAAAAAAAAAAAATTATTAATTTGATTAAGTAAAACAATAATTTCTGTTCAACAAAGGACATCATAGATAAAATTAACAGATGACAGTTTGGGAAAAGGTATTTGCAGTGTCTGAAACCAACAAGGGATTAATACTGAGAGATGCAATTTACTCCTTCAAATCAGTAAGAAAAAGAAAGGAACCTCAGTAGAGACTTCGGCAAATGATACAAACAGGCAATCAAAAAAAAAGAAACCCAAATGCATATAAAGAGATAAGCCAATGCATTAGTAATCAGAACTGCAAAATTTTTTTAAAAAACATCATTTTATACCTATTAGACTAGGAAAAACTGAAAAGTACATTGCTGATGGGAGCGTAAATTAGTAATTTTGAAGAGCTAAACCTGTTAGCTGCGGTTGAGTGGGCTCCGATTCGTGGTGACCCCATGCACAAGGGGATGAAATGCTGTCCGGTCCTGTGCCATCTCCATGATCAATTGTGGACTGAACCATTTTGATCCATAGGATTTTCATTGGCTAATTTCCAGAAGTAGATCACCAGGCCTTTCTTTCTAGCCTGTCTTAGTTTGGAAGTCTTGCTAAAACCTGTTCAGCACCATAGCAACACAGAAGCCTCCGCTGACAGACCTGTGGTGACTGCGCTTGAGGTGCATTGGCTGGGAATTGAACCGGGTCTCCTGAATGGAAGACAAGAATTCTACCACTGGATCACTACTCATTAGTTGCTTTGTTAGTGTCAGAATCAGCTCTAGGCGAGTCCATGGGTGCAGAGTAGAACTGCTTCATCGGATTTTCAAGGCTGTGACCCTTCGGAAGCAGATCACCAGGCTGCCTTTCACCGGGCCTGTTTTCCGAGGTGCCTCTGGGTGGGTTCGAACTGCCAACCTTTGGGTTAGTAGATGAGCGCTTCACTGTTTGTGCCACCAGGAACTCCGGAGCCACCACCAAATTAAACATACACATTATGACCTAGCAATTCTGGTCCTGGACATGTATGTGTGCAAAAGATACTCTCACACAGGGCCTTAAGGGGACATGTACAGGATGTCCATTACTGGAGGAGGGGACAGATAAAACGTGTTGGATGCATATCATGCAGGACTGTGCAGCAGTTACAAGCCATGGATGAGATATTCACTAGTTCATTGGATGGATTTAAAACACCACAGAGCTGAACAACGTGTTTAGTATGCATCTATTCTAGAACAAGTAAAAGAGCCCCTATGGATATCTGTACATGGTTGTGTACATTTGGATGACGAAGGAGAATGGATTACTTTATTAATTCAAGGGAATGGGTATGGAGGGCTGGACAAGAGAGGGGAATGAAATGATCAGCCTTAGGCATCTTTTACATTTGTCGTTTAAAACATATCAAACAGAGAATTAAAAAAAAAACAGACAATACACAAAAGAGTACAATTTTTCTTCGTGGTGGGATTATGAGATTGTAATGTTATTTTTTATATCTTTATGTATTTTTCAGTTTCTTAAACTAACCTATATTATATAATTTAGAAAAAAAGAAAGCTCACATAAAATAATTAGAGCCTTCTAAAGAGAATCAAAAGGAGCCCTGGTGGCACAGTGGTTAAGTGCTCGGCTTCTAACTGAAAGGTCGGCGATTCGAACTCACCAGCCCCTCCTTGGGAGAAAGATGTGGCAGCCTGCTTCCATAAAGATTACAGCCTTAGAAACCCTGTGGGGCAGTTCTACTCTGTCCTATAGCGTCACTATGAGTCAGAATCCACTAAAAGGCAACGGGTTTGGTTTGGTAAAAGTGATCAATGATTTTATTTTCTTCTATTGATTATTTGGTTTTCTACTTCTTCACCCAATATTGACAATTTTTATTTTCCTGGAAAATAAGTTATTTCATATAGATTTTCACATTGGTAAAGTTTATGTAGTATTTGTATCATCATCATCTCCTTGATTGAATTTTTAAAAAATCAGCTGTTGGTTTAACTCAACCAACTCAACTCTATTTTGTTTAATTTTATTAATTCCTGCTTTTATCTTAATGCACAGGCTTTCTTGTTTCCTAATCAATGCATTTAAGTCATTAATTTTCCTCAGAGTATTGCTTTGACTGCATCCCACAAGTTAACGTAAGTAGTGTATTCACAGCAATGATGTTATAATTAAAGGCAATGATGTCTATAAGGTGCTTAGCACAGTGCTCAGTACTGGTTGTTGTTGTTAGGTGCCGTTCAGTGGGTTCCAACTCATAGCGACCTTATGTGTTACAACAGGACTAAGCGCTGCACAGTCCTGCGCCATCCTCACAATGGTTGCTATGTTTGAGCCCATTACTGCAGCCTCTGTGTCCAACCATCTCCTTGAGGGTCTTCCTCTTTTTCGCTGACCTTCTAGTTTACCGAGCACAGTGCTGGTTAGCTCCTTTAATTTATACTGTATACAGCCAGCAAGCATTTATATGGCACTTGCTGCTAACAAAAGGTTGGTAGTTCGAATCCACCAGCCGCTCCTTGGAAACTCTATGGGGAGAGTTCTATTCTGTCCCATACGATCGCTATGAGTCAGAACCGGCTGGACGGCACATAACAACAATAACAGCAACAGGACACAAAGTAAGCATCGCGGGAACCAAGAGCTACATCCTCGATCGCTCTCTTCCCCCCCGCCCCATTCTAACTTCTCCTCACCCCTCAAGGGGCGGGGCCTGGCCTTCACGCCCCTCCTTCCAGGCCACGTTACCATGACATCACGCAGGTACCAACAACACATTCTATAATCCTCCGTCCTCTGTCCCCTTCCGCCTTCTAAAAGCTGCTCTGGAGACGATGATAGGAAAAATAGTCCCTTGGCAACGGAGTTCTTTTCACCAGGGGGCGGAACTAGGGCGGGTCTTAAGGGCGGAAATCCATGAGCCCTGTGGCGGGATTGGGCCCTGTGCCCCCGAGGGACGGGCTCAAATGGGCGGAGGGATCCACTTTACGTGGCGCTCCCTCCCCCCCCCCCCGCCGCCTCCATTTAAGGCGTGGAGAGCAGCGCGGGCGACAGTTGCTGTGGTTTCCGTCTTTAGGTGTTTAGGTTTACCTGTGACTTGAAGCTCGTGGACCTAGCATCCCGCTTTCAAGTCCAGCTATCGGTGGCTGCCGATCGGGACGTACGAGCGCAGCGTCTCTTCTTCAGATCAGAGCCTGCCCCCTGCTTTGCCCTCGCCACTCGGTGCCGCTATCTCCTCGGGGCCTAAGTTGGCGCCGGCGCGGCTAAAGAGAAGGCCGCCGGCACTATGTTCAAAAATACGTTCCAGAGCGGCTTCCTCTCCATCCTCTACAGCATCGGCAGCAAGCCTCTGCAGATTTGGGACAAAAAGGTCAGGGGCTTGGGGCGCAGAGGCCGCGGGACTGAGGACTCGTCCCGGAGATCCGCGGGGGTTGTTTCTGTCTCGTTGGGGCCTGGAGGAGGCCAGGCGGTCGCTGTTGTGCCCCTTCCCCCAGCCTGGCGTGACTAGGGTGCGAGGTAGGGGCGTTGTGTAAGCGTTGTGCATGTTGGGTGCATTCGGGGGTGGGCGTGGCAGAAGTTCAAAAGTCCTGGGGCTACGGTGTGGTTAGGAGAGCGGTCCTTCACCTCAAACGTGACTTGGTCGGTCAGTTCCTCTGAGTCTCGGTTTCCCATCTATATAGTGAGGTTGATAGTGCCCATCTCATAACGTGAAATACGTAAACTTGTATGAGGGAGCTTTGGGGACGTCCAGATGAAAGGAGCTGCTGTCCCCTGATTACACAGTATTTACTGACTGCCTGTTTTGTGCCAGGCACTGTGCTGGGCTCTAGACACAGAACCTTTGTTCCAGAACGCAGAGGCCAAGCCAGTATGTTTGGGTTTCATTCATTTGCCTCTTGTTTCCATTGATCCCAAATAAGTCAGAATTCAGTGGCCTTTGGCACCTGCTCCATGTTCATTGCAACTTGAGGCTCTGGCTTTTGTGCCTGATTTCTCCATCAGAAATGCAAAATGGTGCAGCCAAAGGCTTGTCCGGACTAAAACTCAGAGCCTAGTACAAGCCTCATTATCTTTATTCAGGCATCACTCGATGATACTTTCACTGGCGCCAGGAGATGACCATGCCCATGTTCTGGACATGTTGAGTAGGGGGGTATATGCATCTGTCTATGAGTTGGTTGCATTTTATTACTTTGGTGTTTTGTTTCTCATGCAAATTCCCAGGCAGCTATACTCTTTTTAAAAATATAAGTTCAGATAGACACTCTAATATGGTAGATGGGTGATTTAAGGATATCCTTGGCACTGGTCTCTTCAGGGAAATATTGAGAGAGGTGTGGTGTGGTGAATGGTGTTTTTATAGAGATTGGTGTCGACTAGGAGCCCTAGTGGTGCAGTGGTTAAGAGCGTGGCTGCTAACCAGAAGGTTGGCGATTCAAACCCACCAGCCGCTTCCCTGGAGAAAGATGTGGTAGTCTGCCTCCGTAAATATTACAGACTTAGAAACCCTATGGGGCAGTTCTGCTGCATCCTACAGGGTCACTATGAGTTGGAATTAACTCAACAGTAACAGGTTTGGTTTTTGGGTGTGGACTAATCAAAATAAGCAGAGTTTATTGGTAATGAAATTTTGGATTTCATCTCAGAACAACTCCCTGGCTTCCCTTATCCACAGATGAGAGTTTTGGGCCACATAGAGAGCGTGGACAACCTTTTTGTGTCTGTCACTACTAGGGAATTCTGTGTTCCAAGAGCACCTTTGAGGGCGATGTGTTCATAATGTCATTTTCATAAGAGAGTAGAAAGATCTGTATGTAATGAATTTGTTCCTTTGCATATGGGAAATATTTGAGCCAATCTTCTCTTTCACGATGATTCTATGCACGAGTTAGAGCTGATGCCAAGAGTATTACACAGGAAAGCAATGCCTTAATTTTTGTCTATATTACTGAGGTTTTCAGTGCCATGGTTTTGTTCATATTGGAATAAAGTGCTATAAACTGAAAAATTGCACCTCTACAAAGGGAACCCCAGGGTGGGTATACCTGGGAGCTTTGTAAGGATGATGGCTTGCCAGCCATCACTTAGTTATGGGCCCTCCGTTGGCTTGGAGAGAGTTGCCCTTTTGTGCCAGTGAGGTAATTGAACTTGGAAACTGAATTGTAACAAGTGTCAAAGGTCGTTGAAACAGAATGGGACCTGACCTAGGAGAAGTTTTCAGAGCAGCTCAGAGAATTTACAAACCCTGAAAAGATTCCAGTAGTAAGGAGGCCTCAGCACTTTTATTTGCTGAAGCTTTTGTCACAGTTGCCTGTTTTAACCCTTATGGGCTTGATCTTGTGTGGTAGGTTTCATTTTCAAATGCAGCTTTTTGACTAGTCAACATGTTTACACATGGAATATAAAAGCAAAGTAACCATGCTGTACTGTGTCCCTTAACAACGCCAGTAGAGGTCGGATGGTACCCTAATGACATAAACACATGTGAAAACATTGTTATATGCACCGTCAGGGTTACATGAAATAAACTAAACAGACGTTTTGGCAAAGAAGACCTTTAGAAGAGCGTTCATTTTAACCCAGATCCTCATAATAGTAAAAATCACTTAAATGTTTCTGCTCTTCTTATTTAGACTTGATTAAAAGTGTTTAGCAGTGCAAATTTCTCCCATAGGACAAAGGAAGAAGAGGAAGAGACAGGAAGAGTTTGGGGCCATCCGAGAGGCTTTGTTGTATATGTGTGCTTTCTTAAAAATATAAAAGTCTCAGAAAGTGTTGGGAATTCAGTCCGGTTGGGGAAACACTGGGAATTGATAACACTTATCAAAGATCTATTGAGCAACAGCTAAGTGAAAGGCATTGTGTAGACTTAGGGGGATACGCAGTTAGAGAAGACATTTTCCCTGCTCTCAGGGAATAAGGCACAGTTGTAGAAAGGACAAAATTTGGTATGAGGAGAGAAGAACTGTCTACATTTATCTAGACATGGCTCTGACCTTTGCCAGTAGGTACATATTAACCATGGTGCCATTTTTTAGCTATTATTTTGATTTCACTGCCTTTTTTTAGTTACTATTTTGATTTCACAAAACTTTGCTATTTTCCTTCCTGATTTTATGGAGAGAGGATTTCTGTTATTTGGTTTCAGTAAAGAATAATCTTGAGAAATTAGGTTTGAGTTGTTCTCCATGCTCACCTCACCAGGTTCCCCTCCCTCTTAGCACTGGCCTCCTACTGAACTCAGAGAGGTCCTATTCTCTCTCACCTTCAGGCTTTTGCACTCACTGTTCCCTCTGCTGAAACTCACCCCTCACCCCCCACACATCCACCTCTCCATTAGTCTCTAGGTCATAGTGCAAAGGCACTTCCTCAGAGAGACCTTCCTTGACTCTCTAGCCTAAGCTAATTTATATGTTGTTGTGTGCCATCTAGTCGATTCTAACTCATAATAATTCTATAGGACAGAGTAGAACTGCCCCATAGGGTTTGCTGTTGTTGTTGTTAGGTGCCGTCAAGTTGGTTCTGACTCATTGTGACCCTGTGTACAACAGAACGAAATACTACCAGGCCCTGCGCCATCCTCACAGTTGTTACTGTGGTTGAGCCCATTGTTGCAGCCACTGTGTCAATCCACTTTATTGAGGGTCTTCTTTCTTTTCACTGACTCTCTACCTTACCAAGCATAATATCCTTCTCCAGGGACTGGTCCCTCCCAATAATATATCTGTCTTAGTTATCTAGTGCTTCTATAACCGAAATACCACAGGTGGATGGCTTCAGCAAACAGATTTATTCTCTCACAGTCTAGGAGGCTAGAAGTCTGAATTCAGGGCATCAGCTCCAGGGGAAGACTTTCTGTCTCTGACGGTTTTGGGGGATGGTCCTTGTCATCAATCTTCCCCTGGGTCTAGGAGTTTTTCAACGCAGGGGCCCCGGGTCCAAAGGACACACTCCGCTCCTGGCTGTTCTTTCTTGGTGGTATGAAGTCCCGCTCCTCTTTGCCTCTATTCTTTCTTTTATATCTCAAAAGAGATTGACTCAAGATACACCGTAATCCTGTAGATTGAGTCCCGCCTCATTAACATAACTGCCTCTAATCCTGCCTCATTAGCATCACAGAGGTTAGGATTTACAACACATGGGATAATCACATCAGATCACAAAATGGCAGACAACCACACAGTACTGGAAATCATGGCCTAGCCAAGCTGACATTTTTGGGAGACACAATTCAATCCATAACATTCCACTCTCTGCCCTCCAAAAATTCATGTCCTTGCCATATGTAAAACATATTCACCCCATCATATCATCTCAGAAGTCTTAAATCAACTGCAAGTGCAGATTCCATCCTGGACCAAAACTCCTCTTCATCTGTGAAATCTAGAATACGACTTACTTGCTTCCAAAGTACAATGGTGGAATAGGCACAAGGTAGACATTTCCATTACAAATGGGAGAAATTGGAGGGAAAGAAGGGATAACAGGCACCAAGCAAGTCCAAAACCCAGCAGAACACATTACATTAGCTCTCAAGGCTTGAAAGCAATCCTCTGTTCTCTGAGACCATCTAGGCAATGGCCCTGCCCTCCAGACTCTGAGTACTGGCCATGCTCTCTGGACTCTGGGTGGATGCCTCTTGGCCCTGGACTTCAGCTCCGCCTTCCAGGTCCAGTGGGACAGCAACTCTACTCCCTTGTCTTTGGGCAGCCCTATTCTCCTAGTCTGTCTGAGCGGCCGTCCCACCCCCTTGGCCCCAGCAGGCCCTGTCCTTCTGCCTCTTGGGTTGGCAGCCCAGCCCCCTCAGTTTTGGGCATCAGATCTGGCCCCATCCCACTGGCACTCGTGAATGGCAGCTCCACACTCCAGAACCACTCCAGAAGATCTGATTCTTTGAAATTTAGGAGGCTGTGTCCCCACCCTTTGAGACGCAGCAGACTGTGGTTCCACCCTTTGAGACTGAGGCAGCTTCTGCTTCCTCGTTCCTTGGCCTCTTGCTTCCTCAGCCCCTCTACTCCTGGCACTTCTTTCTTGGTGTGAGGTCCCTCTCCTCTCTCCTCCGTTCTGTCTTTTACATCTCAAAAGGGATCGACTCAAGATACAACCTAATCCTTTAGATCGAGTCCTGCCTCATTAATGTAACTGCCTCTAATCCTGCCTCATTAACATTATAGAGGTTAGGATTTACAGCACACAGGATAATCACGTCAGATCACAAAATGATGGGCATCCACACAATACTGGGAATCATAGCCTAGCCAAGCTGACACACATTTTTGGGGGACACAGTTCGATCCATAACAATGTCCAAAGTGCATGAGATGAAGTCTCGCCTTGCCATCCTCGCTTTCAGGGAGCAGTCTGGTTGTA